AAAAAAAAAAAAAAAAAAAAAGAGAAGATATACCTTATACCGGAAAAGAAAAAGAATTGCAGATATGTATTTCTCATAACTGTAATGCCCAAAATACATGGTTTGTTGTTTTTAGCCGCCGACTACTACCAGTCCTCAGATCATTGCCGGTTTTTCCCCTCTATACATCTAGAAGGAAACTAAATACCAAAATGGATACCGGACGGGGAGGGGGGAAAGGGGGAGTAGTGAGGAGGATGATTGTGAAGGTGGTGGTAAAAAGGCAAAAAAAAAGGGTAACAATTCATAAAATTTAAAAAAAGAACCAAATAAAATAGGCTTCATCAGAAAAAGATCATATTTGATCACTGAATAAAAAAAAAAAAATTAGCAATAATACTACCATTGAATGAAGGCGAAAGAAGCACAAAAAATAAAACATAAAGCCAAAGTTTTTTTTTTTGCGGTTAACTGAATCGGATGGGTACAACTGTCAACTGTTCCATTCTTTACAATACATCGACTCTGTGAACAATCACAAACAACATAATACAATTTTGTTTTTTTGGATACAAAGAAATAAGGTGGGAAGCAAATAACAGTAAACAATGTTACAGAGGAAACAAAAAGTTGACAAATACAGAAACAGTATAATTTAAACATTCTTTTTTTGTGTCTTCTTCTTCTCTTTTTTTTTTTTTTTTTCATTATATAGGTAAAAATTTTTCATCAACAAAACAACGTTTCCTTTTTCTAAGCTGCTTCTTTACTGCATTATATATTCCGTAACAACTGTTGACGCTAAATAAAAAAAAATTGATTATTGCTTCTGTCTTATTGTCTCATAGTGATAAAGAAGGAAGAGAGGGAGAAAACAGGAAATTGTAAATTAATTTGTATCTTAAAGTCAGAAATAGAACTTTTTTTTTAATAGCTCACCACTTATCTGTGAAAGAAAATATCAACGACTCTACCCAGAAAATGTTAACATCAGTTACATACAAAGTGGCCTCAAAGGGGTTGGGGAGGGGGGGGAGAGAGAGAGAAAAAATTAAAGTAAAAAAATTAGTAATACCTACTTAAAAGCCTAGAATCAAGAAAGCGGAAAAAGTACACGAAACAAAATAAAAGTAAAGAAAAGAAAAAGAATTTTTACGCTAAGATAATGTTAGATTGAACTAGGAATGCTGCATACAGTATGTAACCCTGGTAATTGACGATTATGAATCGTTAAGCGCCAAAAACGCTATCTGTTTCACTGTTTCTTTTCTCCTGTCCAACAAGTACTAAAAATTAAGATTAAAAAAGAAAAAAAAAAAGAAGGAAAAATTTGCTGAAAAAATTAGAAGATTTTATAATGAGGTTTACAGGAGGTAATATTAAAAAAACAAAAAAAAAAAAAGCTGCAATAGAGCTACAGCAAAAGCTCATTAATTTAACATCAAAATTATTGATAAATAAACCTATAAATATAGAACTTTTTCTAATATTGTTACAGCAAATAACATTCAGTTTTTGTTCTCTTTTTTTTCAATTTCTATATTATAATCTAAAATAATGTAGTAAAACGAAAAAAAAAGGAATAGAAAATAGAAAAACTAAAGTATAAATAAATTAGAAGTCAATAGAGTAATTGGAGTTAAAATAATAAAAATAGTTTTTTTTAATTTTATTATTTTTTTTGCTTTTTTTTTTTTAATCACTACTTTTACTATTCCTATCGTTTTATCAGAATTTTACCGCTAACTTTTATGAGGACCAGTAAATTGGTGCATCCATCGCCACTGTACTGTAACCGATAAGATCAACCAACATTTTAACCTCATAAATGTTAACGCAACCAATCTGTAATATATAAGTCTGATAGTTTCTTTTTCTTTTGTCTTTCACTTTTTTTTTTCTTAAAGATTTTCATAATG